TCCTTTTCTGGTAGCAAATTCCAGGTCATCCCGGTGTATCTCAACCTGCCAATATCCACTCTTTAAATGAAGTGTCGAAAACCACTTGTTTCCAGAAAGAGTGCACAGAATATCATTAGTTCTACTAGGAAGAAGGTAGCTGTCTTTCTTCGCAACCTCGTTCAACCAGCGATTGCCAACGCATAATCTAGTTGAACCGTCTTCCTTTCTGACCAGAACAATGGGGGAGCACCAAGGACTGGCTGAAGGCTCGATAACGTCTCTTTCTTGAATGTCCTTTAGAAGTTTTCCTACGTCTTCGTGTTTAGCAATCAGTAGATGTCTTGGATGTTGCTTGATTGGGGAATGATCTGCCCTTTAAAAGCGTAGCAACGAGCGTTTTAAAGCTAGAATTTTGTAAAGAACAAATAAATGAGCTTTTGAAAATTTGCAAGGTAGTTATATGTAACCTGGAGTCTAAGATTCATTACCTGCATTTCTAGCTATATTTTTTTCCTAAGAACTTAAAAGCTGTTTTACGAGTGAGGAAAATGCATTATGAAGCAAACGTAGAGAATACTAATCGTTAGACTGTGAAAAGGGATGTACCAAAAGCATGAAACATCAAATGAAACTGACTAGGACTTTCGAAGTTAACTACTACTAACCACAAACGATTCTCATCGAGCGAATGTGACATAGGCAGCCGCCTAGAAATCGGTTACGTTGTTCTCACGAATGAGGCCTAAAATGTATTTCATTTTCAATTATTAATACATTTCATTCGTTTGAGAAGCCTGTAGGATTTTGCTTTAATTTTACTACAATTATTTTATTTTGTGAGCCTTTCCTGAATTCTCTTATTTCACTTCGCGTTTCCTTGCCAGGATGTAAATAAAATAGTGTGAAAGAGTATTTAAACTGTTGGAGTGAAAAAGTTAGACAGAGCGCAATTTTTCTATAGTGAGTACAGTAAGACCCCGCTTAACGCTGTTTCAGTTTAGCGCTCTTTTTTTTTTCAACCCGGGGATTCCTCGAAATTGCTCGCAGCACTACGGGGATTCCCCGAAATTGTGCGCAGCGCTAGGTTTCCAAATAACATATCCGAAACAGTGTAGTTGCGTTTCTTGCTTGGTACGGTGCATTACGGACACATTTTTATCATTTGAAACATTTGTTGACCTTATTGTAAGCATAAATTTATATAATACTATAACGATTAATACAGTGACAAATATTATGATCTTTAGTTTTTATCATGGGTTATAATAAAAAACAAGAAAAGAAAGCAACCAGAAAAAGCATTTCACTGGAAACTAAAATGCAAGTGATTAGAAGATTAGATTAGTGATAGTGATTAGTGATTAGAAGATTATTCAATCTTAAATTAGTGCTGCATTGAATTTGGCAACTTCAACACTAAGGACAATTCTTAAGAATAAAGAAAAAATACTGTCATCGGCAACTGCAGCTACATCAAGCTCTGCAACTAGAATTAACTGTTCTAGAAATAACATTATAGAGGAAATGGGAAAACGACTGTCTGTATGGATTGACGACGAAATTGAGCGCAATATGCCACTAAGCCAAACTATTATAATGCCTTCTTGACAAAAAATCAGAAAATTGGAAACACAGAATAGACTGAATAATCTGACTGAGAATTTTATTTGTTTTTATAAGTATATTCGTTTATATTGTTTTATTTTTGTAAGAAATGAATGTTTGGTTTTATTTTTATTACATTATTAAATTTAATAATTAACCAATTTTCTACTTATCTTCTCCTAACCCCATTATTTACATGTTAAGATAGCCTCGTTTAGCGCTGTTTCGCATTACACTCTACTTTGATGGAACGTATCCCCCCGCGTTAAGCGGGGTCTTAGTGTATACTGTTAATAGAAGCTACGCATTTTTGCCTCGAGTTAGTATCATCTAGGTGTAGGTTTTTTGAGTCAACCTGCTTGTTTATATTGCATTATGTAGTCTCGCACTACTCTTTACCTTTTTATTTAGTGTTGCATTACCTTTTGAGGTCTCACCGCGCGGTTGGTGTTTTGTTTGTAAGCAAGTAAGTCCGTGCCATCTGTTCAAAAGTGTGTGATCAATAAAAGGGCTGTTACACCTTTTCCCTGGTTGTGTTCATCTTCACGTCTGTGCGAGAGTTCACAAAGTACAATACTTAAGTGGATTTAGTTACATTTTATAATAGCCATGAAAACCAGATCCTAATAGCCAACTGTACTTATCTCTTAGGATGCCAAAAATACTGGAGCCAGGTCTTTCCTTAGCTGTAGTGTACTGTTTCATTAGCTATACATATATGCAATAATCATACAGTTTACTGAAAATAAAAAAAAACGTTACTTAGAAACAACATCCGATGGGGAAATCTGATAGTCGACTTTGAAATGAAATAAAAAAGGAAATTCTGTATGTTCCGTATTTGAAATTTTTGCCAATCACTGTATTATAGAAGTACCAAAGGAGGAGCAGGTGCGCCCTTGCCTCGGGTGAAATATAATAGAAAATAAAAAATTCTAAAATAGTGTAATATTCTAAGTACTGGCGTGAAGATAATAAAAAATGCACTTAGAGGATGAAACTTTGTGATCTGCTCAAGGAATTAAAATCTGTATTCATGGTTCTGATAATAATTATTCCAAGAATTTAATATTTCACCTCCATTCTGAAAATTTGAATATTGTAATCTTCATAAGGCATCGACAAGTATATCAAATAAATAGTAATTACTGTAAAATCATTAATGTTTGCGAAGACAAAAAATTGTCATTTTGAGTTTAGCCATGGAAGAAAAATAGAAAAAAAAGCCAGTTGAAAAATAATATATTTTATTGTGTGCTTTAAAATAAAATTGAGTACAAAACTGGTACAATAATTATAAAATATTAAACACATTTCTATCACATGTAAAGGTTTGTACACAATGCCATAACCATCTGAAATGATTCATCATTATCACTTTATATGTACAAACTTAATTTATTGCAAAATTACTGCATACAATACAAAATATTCACAATAAAAATTCATAGCACCATGAATTTGATCGTTTACGTAGGATAGTGTAATATTTTTCTAGCATATTCTAGATAATCTTAAGCAGTTGGCCACAAAATTTTATAATGATTTGATAAGCTTTCTCTATAATACATTATAGAATAAATTAATAAATATTCACTTCTAGCCTTATCATTTATCCTCAGTTAAAGTTACAATTATTCTGGTGTATACATATTACAGCCATTACGAAACGAAAAGTCGTTTAATTATAACTTTCACCGATAGAAAATTATAAATTATGTTTCAGAAATATAAATTTCATTTCTTTCTTCATTTATATAGAGAATATTTGAAGCTATTTTTAAGTATTAGTGATTGCTTGGTAAATCCATAATGAAGATGAAGAAGTTTAAAAAATTTAGCAATGATTCAGTTTGATACTTCAAGAAATCGCGGACTGGACATTGGTAAAAGCAAAGGTTTTACAATAAGGATAAAATCTTTTGAGTAAAACAAGTTTTACCTAGTGAAAAGATTAGATAAATGGGAAGTCATATAGACGATTCTCGTAGCTACCATCTACGAGCTAGGAAATTATAGATCAGTTTTGCACGGATTATAATCTTGGAATAATATTTCATGTAAAGTGTGAAAATTATATATCAGCTTTGTAGGGATTTAATTATTGAAAGACAGTTTACCAAAGAAGCTCAAGCAATATGCCGAAAGCCAGATTTATATGAGAAATTATCAATGATTTGGTCATTACATACAGAAAAAATACCATCAAACGTACGACGAAATGAAACTTTTATCTACCCAATACTTCAAGGCTAATATATCTGAACTATTATCATGCGTTTTATGATTAAGTTTTGTTTATTTTCGTTGCACTGGCCTAGCTCCCAATCACTGACTCTTTTTTTTTAAATCACTGAGCAAATTTCTGAAAATCATTAACAATTTTTTTGTACATCATTTGGCACACTTTTAAATCGTTTGACACTGAATATTATAGAATTTTACAGCTATAAATCAACAAGAAATATTTGGCATAGATTTACATTAAACTTTTTTTTTCAAAAATGTTAGTCACCATATAAGCACAGTAATGTACAAAACTTATAAGGTACTTAACTTACAAACTTATACGTCTTATTTAATTACCAAAAATTAAATAACAGTAATGTATATACAAAAGAAGTGTATCTACATTTATGATACCTAGGAAGTAATAATGGCACATTCTGGGAATTAGAATCATTAAAATTTTGCTTAAATTAAAAAATTTTATATATATATGTGTTTATATCCAGTCCAATCTTTATAGTTTGGATTAGATATACATAGGTTCATAAGAAATAAGACCAAACTTAATTGAAAATAAACCAATATTGAAAACAAAATAAAAATACGAACATTAATGAAAAGTACAATATCAATGCATGTAAGTAAATATTTATATGATGGCACCTATGAAAGCTTATACAAGGGATTTTGCCAAAACTAACAAATCCTATTTGTTTTCTCATATTATTTTGTCTGCCACGCTTTATGATTGGCTGCATTTCTAACGTAATACAAGGAAAAATAATAATTCTTTTTGATACGTTACTGAGAGTTCATTTTTCTTTCTTTTTCTTTTTTAAGTTTTATGATTAAAAACAAAACAAAAGTAAAAATTTTTAAATATTAAAAATGTTATTAAAAATTAACTTTACTCCTGATGTTAATTAAAACATCCCTGGCTGTGAAGCATTCTGGGAGGAGGGGGGCGTCAGAAGATTCTGATTAAAACTATATTTCTCAACCACAGCTAAAAATATAATAGAAATAACAGTTTGGGAGGGGGGAAAATTTAAACTATTTGGCATTACTGGAAAAATTTTATATATTAAAAAAAACATAATATTAATAAAAATAATTCAGATCTGCAAAGTTATTACATAACATTATTATTATATTTTAAGTAATTACGATCTTTTAAAAATGAAATCAATAATTATTATCATAAATTTCCGCAGAAACTGATCAGAAATTAAGAAAGAAAGATAGAAAAAAAAAAAATTAATAACCAAAAAAAAAAGCAATTATATTTCTTTTCAGTCACATTTTTGGACTGGATTGAGTACTTGATAAAGTACATGGGGGTTTATCAAGAGAGGGATGGAGATCGGTTCTATATCCAACTAAACATGATTACATTATATATGGACAGCCCCTCATTCATTGTCATTTTGTTACTTTTTCTTTAAAAGTTGCTTACCATACCACTGAAGGCTTTCATATTTCTTTGTAAAAGTAAATTATACAATTTTTTTTTTTCATTTAGCATATGTGTGGCACAAATGTATTAGTGGATTTTTAACATGATATACTTTACACGCAAAATTTGAATGCCCGTAGTTTGCAAGCTATTTAACTTACCAGAACATTTAGCCTAGCCTCATGTTTTCCCCCATTTGATTGATCATATCTGTACATTTATTAAGCATACTGTGACAAAATACATACATATTATATTTACAATAAAAAAAAAAGAGAAGTCCAGAGACAGCTTCAAGTTTCAAGTCTCCAATACTGTTCAGAGAAAGAAGTCCATCACCCGTTCGATCACCAAAGCCCCAATCAATGCACGGCATGTCACAGGTGGGTGTAGGCCACTCCATTAAAGTAAAATCGGGCTAGTATGTTCAAAAAGACATACCATCAGCCGGATAAATGTCAAAGAAGAGATCCTCAGAATCAAACTTTCAAATAAAATTCTTTCATAGTCCCATTAATTAGTTCACTTGATCTTCGGCAGATGTCGCTTCATGTGCAACGCTAAGTGGTCAGAGCGGGCAAAGGAGCGGTCGCACACTTTGCACTTAAAAGGCTTCGCGCCCGTATGTTTCCGGAAATGTCGTGTCAATTCGTCGGAACGAGCAAAGCGCCAGTCGCATTTATCCCATGAACATCTGTACGGCTTCTCGCCTGTAAATATATATAAAAAAAATTGAATCATTTATCTAAATATAAATATAGCAATTATTTGAACATGTCTAGTACTAGAAATGGTATACCACTTAAAAACGGATTGTCTATAAAAATGCAGACAGTAAAAATTATGTAAAGAAGAGATACTTTTATAACTTGCACGTATGTGAGGACCTCTAAGAATTCGTATAAATTTTCAGAAGTAATTTAGCTGTCCATCTTTCTTTTAAGAATTTACAGCCGGTCACAGATATGTAAACGAAGTCTTGAAACTCCATGTAAAGCCGTTTAGGAGGGCTCTTAGGCCAGATTTTTTTCCTGATGAATGATAGCGCTCGCCAGCGTCGAACGTCTCTAACTCGAATAATCCATTCGAGCTTACTCACCAGATCTGAACTCGACTAAGCATGGGTGGGAAGCCTGAGACTACTGAATTACAGAGCGCCAAATGTCTTCTGAGATTCTCCAGGATTTGAAAAGAGTACTTTTGAAAGAGTGGCATGCAATTTCTGCAAGATTTAATCAATAGTTTGGTAAATTTTATGAAATCAAGATGTGAAGTTTGCATTTTCGTTACAGGTGACCATCTACCATATTAAAGAAAGATTTGCTGCAAAACAGCAGAGAAACATCATTTTTAAGTTTCCAAAAATTTGACTTCAGATGCAATATTTTGATATTAATCAAATGGAAAATATGGTAATTTATGTTAAATGAATGTTTTGCATAAATTGATTTAAATCATTTTCAAATAAGTATATATTTTTCAACATCCTTTAATTTTTTACAAGCAGTATAGTTATAGCTGGTTTCGATGCATTTCTTAAGAAAATGGAACAATGGAGCCACTGTTCGCAACACTGGCAAATTTCGCCTTACTTCAGCTATCCCGCAATCCTTGATATTCTGTCCCTAGCTTTAATTTTCAAGAAAGACTACAATCAGTTAAAGGCAGGTCAGGAAAAATAAGCTAGAACTTGAACCAGGTTGATTTCTGAAGCTCCAATCTGGATTTTGAAAATTATGAAAAATGGATCCGTCTTCTGGACAAATGCATGGATACTGACAATAGCAAGACTGCAAAGTGTTGAATAAGTAAGTATACAACGCAGGAGGAAGTAACGGAGTATATGTTTAATTTGTAAAATCAAAAGGTCTTTTGATGTATGACGCGTGTATTAATATAAAATATCAAGTTCTCAGTACGCCGGGTTCAACTTTATGGTATGCGTTAATGCGTTTGGGTGACCCATAAATGTGTAAATGTATTAAGTGCAGTCAACAATTCCTTATAAATGAAGTATAACAGGATATACTTTTTTTTTTTTTTTTCAAAAATAGGTAGTTTCTTTTATATATTTATTTATCCAAAACTAATCGCTATATAATAATGATTTTTTTTATACGATGCTTACAATGACATTTCATTTTACAATCAAAGAGAGATTATTATTAATACAGTTTTCAGTATTTTAATGCTATTAGTTTTATTATAGTTTCAATAATCTAACAATAATTAGCATTGCTGTATCAAGCAGAAATTTTATTTCTTTACATCGATTTGTTTATGTAACATAGAAACCTTGCAAAATTTACTATCTACTGCCCAGGTCAATTTCCAAGTTATTCTTTCCCTTCAGTTTCTCATTTTTCTGAGTCACATCGCTGACTTCTGGAGTGTGCATACTGTGAGAGAATGAATGAAAGCTCAGAGTTCTTAAAATATATAACGGATTATAGTTGGCTTATTATTAAGTCTGCTATTCACGCAGCTGAACAGGTGTCGTATTCAGCGGTTTTCTTTGAAGTTTAGTTTAACGGATAAGCAGATCCAAATGGCGAATCACCGAATTTTTTGGTAAAATTTTTGGGTTTTGGAAGCCAAGAATCTGGTAACAATAAAGTAGTTAATTTATTCCGTCAGGCTACGAAGTTATGGATTTGTTACTAAAATATCTATTTACTGTTTTTGTGGTTGCAGATATGTTTACTTGTGAATAAAGCAGGCGTTATTTACTTTGTAAATAGGTTACGTTTTAAATATGATAGAATATTGATTACTAATATATATATATATATTGTCTAAAGTTAAATTCTACGGCATCGAAGTAAGCCAGAAATGGCTGAAGCAGTGGAACAGCGAGCATAACTGGCGCCAGGGGCAAAATACCTTTTTGGCGCCCCCCTCCCCGAAAAATACACAGTGATTTGATGAAAATCATACACCCCTTTGCTCCCCCTCGCATCATATACCCTCTTGCCCCCCTCGCTACGCCACTGAGCTGAAGGTTAAGTAGTGTAAAGTACAAACCTTACAATTTCCTGTTAATCAAGGCCCTTGACTTTCATTCCTTATCCATATAAGTTTATAAATTTTATCAGAAATTCTATTTAATCCTCATAACAGATTTCTGATGCTATGTTTATTGTTAATGGATGAAGTTATGCAGTGTCTGAAAGTATTTTAAAAAATAGGCTATAGCCATTACAACAATGCATTTCGTACGCAATATATTGCTGGGCTGAGTTGGGGGTCTCATGCACCATGTATTCAAACGACTCACTTCTTCTAACTGAACAGCTGCATGATAATATCATCCTTAGCAAAAAGAAGAAAATAGTACAAAACCCTGGTTGAGATGTTGGCAAAAATAAACAGACGCGCCACTCCAAAAAAAATTTCTTCTATAACATCACCAGTGATTTTTGTAGTTACAGTTTATCGAACAAGTAATTTAGATGTAGTTTGGTAGACACTGGTTGATGATATATTTCTAAGCAGTTGTTTAAATGACGTTTGTTGCAATTTGTAACATATTTTAACGATTTCTTCGAGAAGCAAATTTAGTATAGCGTGGCCAACTTCTGCATACATATTACCGACGTTTTTCTTAAATTTACCCTGCGATTTACCTACAAAATCTTGCAACTTAACTTACGCAGACTTGTATCTTGCGTTCCAGACACTGGAGAAGGGGTTAAACCAGCATATTTTATTAATAATACTTATTAATTCATAAGTAGCCACAGAAAAGAATACCGATTAAATTTTATCTTATCGTTAACGGGAAATTTGCGTTTGTATGTCTCCAACCAAGCGCTCATAATTTGGTGTGTATCTGGACAAAGATAATAATAACGAATCTCCAGGAGGGAGATCAATAAGTAGGGAACGATGAGTCTTCATGAGCTTTATATAGGGAAAAGCCGATTCTAATAATCATGTAGATCCTAAACTCACTATGTTTGGTGATATCGGAATACCTTATAGATTGACATACAGGTAGGTCTCCTAAAACGCGTTTTCGCTCCAACGCGATTGGTAAAACGCAAAAATTTTCTTACAACGCGGATCAAGGAATCATAATAACTTTTAAATCATATTATATCCGTAAATCATTTAACTGAATTTTGGAGAAACTAGATTCTACAGATATTTCAGTGAGAGAAGTTTGGAAACAATTTAAAATTTTGTAGAAATTATCGGCTTGTTCCTAAAAGAAATGAGCCAGTCAAATCCAAATGCTTCCTGGAAAGGTTTATTACCGGAAATGGTCAGTCAAGAAAATGCTGTTGAGTCAATTCAGCTTGAATATAATAACATAGTAAGCTTTGCACACGAAATAGGAGGCGATGAACCCACTGAAATAGTTGTTGATGATATTCTAAGAATTAGTTGGAGAAGAGGAAATAAACGAAGCAGATTTGGTGACAATTATATCCAAAGCATTACCGACTGAAGATAATTCTGAAGATCTTATCAATGAAGAAACCAAAAACTTCACTCTGAAAAGCATAGAAAAATGCTCGGACATGGCTAAACAGATGGAATCGTACTTTACAGATACTCTGCCGGAGAGAGCGGAAATATTTAAAAGAAATCTTCAAACCTGCTTATCAAGAAATTTTTAAAGATTTGCAAAGCAAGGGCAAACAATCTCTCATGACAGATGTTTTAAAACCTAAACCTACCGGAAGTTAAGTCGAACTTGAAAACGAATTTTGAAATAAGGGCAGTCAAACGTTCTCCAACAACTATAAGAAGTGACAACGAGGAATAAATTTGTGAGCATAATATTATGTTTCTTTTTGATTTTGACTTGAAATCATAATCTTTTTAGTTTTATATAATGTTGTATTTAATTTTTTTAAGAAATGGTTTTATGTAAATCAATTTTAAAAATAATGAAAATGTTACACAATAAAAGGCGTTTTTTCTTTTTTTAGAACCGAACCACAATTTTTGTATTAAATTGGTGTCTCCCATAACGCGGTACTTTCAAGTAATGCATCTACGGCGTTGTAGGATGCCTACTTGCATTTCCAAAAAATCATCAAGTTTTCTCGGTTATAAAGTTAGATCAGTTTGTAAAGTTATAATTTCATTCCCTGCCATCGTTTTTCACTATTAAACCTGTCAGAGATGTTAGGGGCAATATGTTTCACATTTAAATTCTCTTCAAAACGAAAAAACCGAGACAGCACAATAATTTTCACTTTTGCAAAATCACGAAGTCTAATCGCATAGCCTTCAAATCCCCTTTTTAATACCTGTAACATAGTTTTAAAGTTATAATAACAATTTTTATGTTTTTTATAGTTGAAAGGCCATATCTGGCAAGTGATTCAAGTTGTTTTTTTTTTTTTTTTGAAAATGTTCTATCAGCATAATAAATTTTGTTTTGAATGCATAAATGCCACTTATCATTTCAACTACAGTTTTGTTTTCTCCTTGCAATTTTAAATTTAAACCACTTAATTTTGAAACAAACTTTAAATCACTAAGCCATATTCCACAAATTTCCGTATTCTTGAGCCTGCTCTTCGAGAAAAACTATTATCTCATTTAATAAATCACAAAATCGTTGCAGAAATTTACTCTTAATTAGCCAACTATAAGAGCAACAATTAAGCACAGCCTCGAAAATATAACTTTCCCTGAAAGTTCTTCGCTTCATAAACAATTTTCCTGATCGATCTAATTGAGGAAACTAAAA